TGGGCTCCTTATGCCTCTGGATCAACAGGCAAAGAAGGGAGTTACCATAATGACTGGTGTGATTGATCCTGACTACCAAGAGAAAATCAGATTGGTATTACGTAATGGAGGTAAAGAAGAGTATGTCTGGAATGTAGGAGATTCCTTGGGACATCTCTTAGTACTACCATGCTCTGTGATTAAAGTCAATGGAAAACTACAGCAACCTAATTCTGACATGACTACTAATGACCCAGACCCTTCAGAAATGAAGGTTTGGGTCACCCCACCAGGCAAAGAACCACGACCAGCCGAGGTGCTTGCTGAGGGTAAAGGGAATACAGAATGGGTGGTGGAAGAACGTAGTTCTAAATACCAGTTATGGCCATGTGACCAGCTGTAGAAATGGGGACTGAAATTATGAGTATTTCTACTTTGTATGTGTGCATCAAATATTTTTGTTTCCTTCACTTATAAAATATAAGCTGTAAACAGGACTAGCGCGTTTTTGATTGTACGCATGTTAGTTGCATCATGTTAGACACAAGAATGACTTTCTAATTGTCTTTATTCAGAGATTATGTATGGTTTAAGGAGATGTGTACATGTGCCAAGTTGACAAGGGGTGGACTGTGATGGTTAAGATTGTGTATCAACTTGGCTGGGCCATGATTCTCCGTGTTTTAATGTAATCACTCCCGTGATTGAATACACTGTGAGTAGCCAATCAGATGAAAGGGAGTCTCCCTGGGGGTGTGGCCCGAATCTGTATATAAGCAGACGTTCTGGCTTTTTGCTGTCTCTGGATCCTGTGGCTGCTTCCTGTCGTCTCATCTCCTGTTCTTGGGACTTGAGCTGTCAGCTTATCTGCTGAACCTGGGATTCGTCAATCTGCATAGCCTGTGAGTGGGAGCCCTGCTCTCTGATCTGCCGACCTTGGGCTTGCCAGCTTCTGCAGTTGTGTGACTTGGGAGAGGACTCCACCCTGATCCATGGACTTGGGACGTTCTAGCCTCTACAATCACGTGAGCTGTTTCCTTGATATTATCTCTCTCTATATATATATTTATACACTTTACTGGTTTTGCTTCTCTAGAGAACCCAGCCTAAGACACTCTTCAAGACAGCCATTTCTCCTTGTTTACCCACAGAGGAAGAAGCACCAATGGGTCCCATCATTTGATCCAGGTGGTGCAGCTGGGTTTTCTGCTGTATCTCTGCTTATACCTTCCTTGTCTTCTTGGACAGCTCATTCTCCTCCACCTGCCATTTAAACGCGAGAATTTCTGAAGGCTCAATCCTAAACTGTCCCCTTTCTTTTCTCATTTGGTTTTCTCTCTCAAGGAGGTGTCATCCATACCCATGGCTTCAATTACCATGTACATGACAAGGACGCCAGAAATTATGTCCCACATCTCTGTACTGAGCTCTAGACCAAAATATCCATCTGCCTGCTTCACATCTGCTCTTGGATGCCTGCAAAGCTGAGTCCAAAACTAAACTCAGCCCTGGCCTGGTCCTCCTCCAGGGTTTCCGGTCCCTGTGACTGAGAGGCAGCACCGCCACCCATTTGGACACCCACACCAGGAAACTGGGGAATGTCTTTGTCATGGACTGAATTATGTCCCCCCAAAATATCTGTCAACTTGGCTAGGTCATGATTCCCAGTACTGTATGATTGTGTACCATTTCCTTATGCGTTGTAAACTCTATCACTATGATGTAATAAGATGGATTAGCGGCAGTTATACTGATGACGTCTACCAAGATTAGATAGTGTCTTAAGCCAGTCTCTTTTGAGATATAAAAGAGAGAAGTGAGCAGAGACACATGGGGTCCTCATGCTACCAAGAAAGCAGTGCCGGGAGCAGAGCATGTCCTTTGGACCTGAGGTTCCTGCACTGAGATGCTCCTGGACCAAGAGAAAACTGATGACAAGGACCTTCCTCCAGAGCCGACAGAGAAGACAAAGCCTTCCCCTGGAGCTGATGTCCTGAATTTGGACTTGTAGCCTGAATAAATTTCTCTTTGTTAAAGCCATCCACTTGTGGTATTTCTGTTAGAGCAGCACTAGATGACTAAGACAGTCTTTAACACTTCCCCCTGGCTCTTCTTTCCAGTCCACCAAGTCCTATTGAGTGTCTTTTCCAAACAGTAAAAAACCAGTTACTGTCCAATCAACTCTGACTCAAGGTGACCCCATGTGTGTCAGAGCAGAACCATGAGTAACCAAGTGCTTAACCCTTTGTGCTGGTTAACCAATGGCTAAGTTTTTGAAACTAGATGGCCAGGCTTTTCTTCTGAGGTGCCTCTGGGTGGACTTGAGCCTCCAACCTTTCGGTGAGCAGCCTTGGTGCCCTCTGAGCCATTCTCCACCCCAGCAAAGTGATTCCATACAAATGCAGATCAGATCACAACACCTCCTAGTTTCTCCATAGCTTTTAGCAAAAACAGCATCTGTGATACTGGCTACACTATCTGGTGGATCTGGTCCAGGCTCTTTTCTCTTTTCTCTGGGCTCATTTTGAGACACTCTGCTCTTCCCACTGGCCACAATGGCCTCAGTTTTGCCAGACTCTTCTATGGTGTCCCACCATGCAGATTTGTCTAAGCTGGTCCTTCTGGCTGGAGCCCAGCTTCTTCTTTGCCTTCTAACTCCTACACTGCTTTCAGTTCTCATCTCTGTCTTCCTTATGAAAACCTCCCTGATGCCCAGACCAGACCATGTTCCCCATGATATGTTCCAGTCCTCCTCACAGTTTGTAATTCTACATTTGTTTAACTATTAGCTAACGTCTGTCTCTCCTGGACTATAAACTTTTGGGGAGCAGGGACAACATCAGTGTTGCTACCTCTTATCTAAGTTTTGAATTACACAGTGATGGTGACATAGTAAGTACACAGTACCCATTGCCGTCGAGTCGATTCCAACTCATAGCCACGTTATAGGACAGAGTAGAACTGCCCCACAGGGTTTCAAGGCTGTCCTCTTTACAGAAGCCGACTGCCACATCTTTTTCCCGAAGAGCAGCTGGTGGGTTCGAACTGCTGACCTTTTGGTTAGCAGCCAAGTGGTTAACCACTGCGCCACTGGGGCTCCTAAGTATCCAATAAATACTTATTAAATAAATGAACTAATAAACAAGAAGTGGTGAAACTCTAATTCAAAACTGATTTCAGAGCCATCTCTGTCCAGCACCCCACTTCGCCCCATTCTGAGAACACTAACAAAGCCTGGAAGAGAATGGAAAAAAGGAGGAAAACCACTGGGCTGGTTCCCAGGGTTCTGCCATGGGCAATTGCTCTTCACGCGCATGCTCCAGGCTGGGAAGGCAGCTTCTAGAGGAAAGGAGAGGTTCCCCAGGCAGGAGTTAAAAGACTAGGGGTATCCACTGTCACCCCATCACTAACTCAGGGAAAAGACTGGTCACTGAACTCCACATAGCTTTAATCTATGTTGTTAGCTACCGTGGAGTTGACCACGGACTCATGACGACCCCATATACAATGGAATGAAACACTGTCCAGTCCTGTGCCATCCGCATGATCATTTGCGGATGGGACCTTATGATCCATAGGGTTTTCATTGGCTGCTTTTCAGAAGTAGATCGCTACTCCTTTCTTCCCTGTTCATCTTAGTCTGGAAGCTCCGCTGAAACCTGTTCAGCATCATAGCAACACACATACCTCTAGTGACAGAGTGACAGATGGGTAGTGGCTGCTCATGAGGTACATTGGCTAGGAGACAAAAT